ACACAGAAATCGGTACTCTTCTGCTACATTTTTCATTCCGGATTCAAAAAATAAAAATAATTGGTTTTGTTGGCAATGATCTTGTAAGACGATAAAGAATCAGGCATATTACACACGCAGAGCATTCAGAATTCTTTCAAAACGATCAGACTAGTAACACGGCCTTCGATATTCGACGGGTATGAAATTCTCCTCGAAGGAAAATTGGATTAATACTCCAAGGAACCAAGATAAATATCTAACAGGTTTCGAGAATCAAAATTCAATTTAGTTTCTGAAATATGATTTATTGTTTATTTATTTATTAATTTATTTATTCAACTTTTTACAGTTGATAAATATGATTTAGAAATATTGCTAGCAAAGAATCAGCTCAATAGATGCATTAAATAAAGTTTATCCAACAAATTGCTCAATTTATAAGAAAGCATTATTAAAAAGATATAGTATTAAGTTTAGTAAGTTTTATGTTTCAATTTTTTATGTTTCAATTTTATATTTAAAAATCCCGAGAAAAATAATTGTCAAAAATATTTCCCATCAGGCAAGCACATAAAAAAGCCTTTTTTTCAGGAAAACTTATGACTTTTTATGGAAAATCAAGTCATTTATTCAGATTGCTGTATGGGGTTGGGCTATTAACAATGTCAACTTTCATGTATCATGGTTCTATAGAATCCAGTTAACACGTCTTATATACTAGAGAACAGGAATTTAATAATTTTTGTAGTTACGCTTCAGTACTCCCCTACCAGAAATTTTATTTGTGATAGAATTTGATAAATGGATATCACTAGTTAATTCATTGCTGTTTTGCAAGAGGACCGGAGAGCTGTATTAAGATCACCGGACTTTGAGTGCTAGTCGTGAGTTAAAATCACGATTGTTAGCGGGGTCGCTCCTGTGTTGCACTTAACAGTCGAGTGCTCAGGATCCCGTTGTGAGTGATCGAGACTGAGACTGAGTAGCAACAGTAAGAGGAGGACAATGTCGCATTCCTAAATAGCAATTTAATTGTTCACTGTTTTCCTTCCATCAAACTAGGTGAGTTCAAATTGAAGTGGGGATTTCAGTCGGTGAAAGCGTGTAATAGGAATAGGAATTTAGCTAGTAAATAGGAATTTAATAATTGTAGTGGTAGTTACGCTACAGTAGAACATTATACTACATAACACTTTTTCTTCGGTTTTTACGCAATAAAGTGAAATCATCTTTACATATATTGAAAAATGTATAGAGCTTTTGTAAATAACTTTACTTTCTCGAAGAATTTATTAACTAAGGAAATTTATTTAAATGGAAACCCAAAAATATTGTGATCTAAGAAAAATTCATTATCAACTAGCGCTATTTCATTCGTAATACAATCAACATATGTATTTCTGGAACTTACTCAATTTAAGCAGGTGAGCCGGTAGTGGAGTCTATTAAATTGATTTTTTTAAACTATTTACAATTAAAAAAAAAGTTTGAGTTGGATGGTAGAAATAAGAAATATCTTGTTTTCACAGAAAATGATTCATAATTTGTTTTGAGTAGAAATGGAAACAGTGTTCATGAATAAATTATCAGAAATGGTTATTTTCAACTGTTCTTTAAAATATTTAAGCAAAATGTAAGAAAATGGAATGAAATAATGCACAGATTAAAGAAAATCTCAAGATGCTTACTCAGATTTCTGGTGAAAGGCATTAATGATATAATATTCTAATTGGTAAAAATAAAAAATGAAAAACGATACTATACAAGTTCTAAAATGCTGTTATTAAGCTCAAACAATGTTGCCATAAAGAATCACATATTCTGATTTCGATAAAAATAATATTTTTTATTAAATTAATATTTTCTAAAAGAAATATGATTGAGTTAGCTTTTTAAGTTTATATAATTTACAAATAACTATTACAAATTAATTATATCGCAAAAATCTTCGTATGCTCCATTTATATATTTAAAAAAAATTCTGAAAACGATTTGTATAAATTTCGCATTTATAGAATCGTTTTTATAGAAAAGCTATTTATGGAATCGCTTTCTTTGTGATAACGATGTTTTAAAATAATACGTGGCACCGCAAATTGAATCATGCCATAAAGAAAAAAGACAGCTTATTTTTGCCTAACGATTTTTTTTCTTTTGTTGTTTTAATTTTAAGCTTATTAAAAATTTTATAAAAAAATAACTTGGTACCTTTTCTGCTAACTTCTGTTCAATGACTTCCTAATACAATATTTTTAAATCGAAAATAAATAAACTGTTTTCAATTTGTAACATCCGCAGTTTTTTACCCGATATTTAAAGTTTAACGTGTTTATACTTATCAGTATATTAAGTTATTCAACTACTGTAGTTTAATTCAAGTGGTTTCAAGCAAATCAGTGTTTTTTGCTATATTTATGCGAAAATATAGCTTACAGAAAATAGTTAAAACAATTATACGAAGTCTAAAAGTTTTTAAACATTTTTTCTCACATTTCTTACTCTATAAAAGAAAAATCCGTGATGTTCACGGGAACAAACTGTAAGCTGGTGTGTCAGTGAAAACCCGTTTATTTCACAGAAAAGTACTGTTTTTAAAAATAGATGCATGCTTTTTTTCCAGCCGATAAGTACTGTTATTTTAACAAATAAACGCAGTTATTTTAACAAAAAATTCTATAAACTTAACTATGTCACCAAGTTGGTCGATACGAGCGGAGAGCAGCATTCGTACGGCGAGTCGACGCTGGGGTTTGAACCTGGACTACCTCAGGCGCTTTGTCCTCTGAACTACCGCAGGTCTATAGTGTCTTAGTATTTAATAATCATCGTTGAACAGCAGACCCAATTTTTGGGTTTACGACTTCTAAAGTTCAACTCCGTAGACTTGTGATTTTGAACCCAAACCAGAAGACAAGGGAACTCCTGGAACAAGTATTGGGAGAAATTTTGTCTTTGTTGAGGACTTTTTGATGGAACTAACCCGCATTTGCGTTACATGGAGAGGAAGACCACGAGAACCTCCCAAGGTTAGCCTGGCGGCAAAGGGACTCTAACCCGTGATCCGTCTACCACTGAGGATATTTCACGTCAGCACTGTGGTCGGTGCAAGCCGGATGCGGATTCGAATCGACCAGCCATTGGTGGGATTCGAACCCGGTTCACCTCATTGGAAGGCGAACACTCTATCCCCTGAGCCATCACGGCTCTAGAGTCTTAGTTTCTTCGTACTAGTGTCTTAGTATGAGGAAAAATCTTAAACTGTTTAGATCTTAAAGGTCTCACTTATTGAAATAATATTTAAGTGTAAAAGCTTTTAAAACTATAGTGGTTCATCAGTATAAAAATGTCTGACAACTTAACTTAGCAGAATATTATGTCTAAAGAAATATAATAATCAGGTAGAGCATCTACTTGACAATAAAATCGAATCACAGTTTTATTTTTACGATGCTCAAAATCATAAAATAATTGCTGAAAAATAAGAGCAATTAGAGAAAATAAACGTACAATGATTTGAAAAAAAGCTTAATTTATCGTAGGGTAAGCAAGACTGAAGGGCAAAAAAAAGAATTTGAACAGGCGGTTTTATTCCGTTTATAACTAGAATGAAAAACAAAAAATTGTTTTGTCAATAATTCAGCTTTAAACCATCAAATGTACAGAGAAAGCCTATAAGAAGAACGGGATTTTTTTATAGCTATTAGCACAGCATTTTAAAAAAGTCACTGCAAGAAAATAATCAGGGTGTTTTCAGTAATAACAAAAATGTTATGCAAAAATTTATTTTATCGATTAGTAGAAAGCGAACTAGGGTTAAAAATTTGAACACAATTATTTTAAATCTAATTCGAATTCGGGGAACGCAAGACACCAGGATTCTTAAACCAAATTAGCGATTAAAAGGAAAAAAAAAGCACATAGCTTAATTTCATTTGTTTACTTTTTGTTAGACACTAAAATTTTCAATAGTACTTAAGCATCGCTTATTATTGTTAATGTTATATTTTTTTATTATTAAAGTTATTACTTCATAAACATTAATAATAAAAAAAATATAGAATTTTATTTAAACTTAAAATTTATTAATTCTCTGTAATATAATCTTTTATTGTTGAGTTAAAAAACAAATAAGCATTTTATGACGAATTTTGGAGAGAGAAAAAAACATGGGCAAAATCGGTAAACAATTAAGTACATAAAATTAATAAATTAATTTGAATGACATTCAATTTTAATTAAAAAAATTGCTAAGGCTTTATGTTAATGTTGTTATAGGCTTTATGCCTACCTAAATTAATCGCCATTTTTAATATTTTAATCTCAAAAAAATATTTTAACCTATTTTCTAAATCAGAATAAGGTACAAAATCTGCAAATATTTGAAATTCAATATATTTCCCAATAAAAAAAATATCAAAGTATAATAGAAAACGCATACATATTTTTAAGTTTAAAAACCTAGCAAACCGATGCAATTTAATGCTTCGATAGACATGTTATAAAAAGTTTGAATTAGAGAAAACTAAAACTACGGTAACTAAAATTCAAATAAATTGAATAAACAAAGCATAGATTAATGAATCATACATCATAGTTTTTTTAAAAAAAATACATTTGAATAATTAATTAATTGCATCTTTAAAGTTTCTTTCTCCAAAACTATTATCTTTAATTTTTAGTAGTGAAATATGAGATTAATTGATTCAAGCGCACGTAAAAAATTCAAGTAACCAGCAAACATTAAAAATCTGATGCATTCAATCCAAACAATGTCAAAGAAATAAAAAAAAAGTGCTTATTAAAATTCACAATTTTGGTAAAAACCTTTTCATTCTTCATAAAAAAATGAATATTTGCGTAGAAAATGAACATTTTTAGAAACTATCAGAAAATAGTTTCCCCTTATAATCAAGAGAATATTTCAACGGATACGTGGTTAAATAATGCTTCATTCAATCTCGTTTGATCCCGACAATAGTAAAACGCATTAACAAAATATAAGAAGTCAAATAGCTCACTTTTTGGATGCATTCCTTTTTCTTTGACGCTTTGGACAACAATGATTACAATACGAGACATCTTTTTGGATTATGTCCAATTGGATCGTCTTCAGTTAATGTCATAACAGGTTGTTTTTTTTTTCTTTGAAAAATACGTTTGTATTAACTGTTATAATTTTTAAACAAAAAAACCGTACTTAACATTTAAAAAATATAATCAAAATTAGCGGCAGAAAGTTTTTCTTATTCATTTTTGAAAAATGATTTATTTAAAATAAATAAACACAATATATAAAATAGTTTTCTTTCCTTCGTCAAGTGTTTCTAACAGTTACTTGTTAAAAATTCATTATTTTAACGTAATGTATTTTCAGAAATTGTTTATTCAACATAAATAAATAAAATTATCAGTAAAGAGACAACTTTTTTTTAATATTTTTTCTCTTATATTTCCATTATTTTAAGTTTTTTATATAATTTTTTATAGATATTTTTTATATATTTCCTTATATAGTTTCCTGTCAAAAGTTCAGTATCATCCGTTGTCTGAAAATGTAATGATTACGTCATATTTGTATTATATAAGAGGTAAAATAAACTCCCATTAAATTGCGAAAAAAGTATCACTAAAAATTTATAATTTTCAAGAAAAAACTCGTTTTTCAGATTGTTTCAATTTAATTATGAACAAAAATACGCGAAGTTCCCTTTTCCTTCTTTTGTTTATTACCAAGGTAATAATAAGAAAATGGTTCTTTCATTTTCAAAATGAACTGTATGAGTTAATGCGCATTCCATTTCTTAATTTTTACTTTTCCTTTAATACTTGAATAAAAATAAATTTAAAAGCAAAATTTCGACTTATATTTTTACTCTTTATGCAATCTTTTTTTCTCTCTTAAAAAAAAAAAAAATCTTACCTTTACTTCCGGAAAACAAAACCATATTCCCGTGAAATGCTTTGAGGTATTCTGTGAATGTACAGAATTTTCAAATCCCCAGGGCCGTAAATAGCCGAGAATCGATTGAACTTCATTAAGAGGCAGCGATCGATCAAAGGAAGATCAAGGCCTCCTAAAGATTTCTACGGATCTTAGGTCAAATTCGATTCTGGTCCAATAATGCAAGAAACAAAAATATTGAGACAGGAGCATAAAATTTATTAAACTTTAAAATTTTTTTGACGCATCATTTTTTCTTGTTTTGTTCATTTAAATTCATGCCTCAATACACATCAGCTATAAAATTACGATGAAAAGTAAATTCTAAACATATAATGAGTTAAAATATTGAAATTAAAATTTCGGTAAAACTGTCATACTTTTTGATAATGACATTTCTGAAAGAAAAAACATAATTCTGATAATTTAAACCGCTTATTGGCAATTTTTCGTCCATATGGTTTACCGACAATTCTTGCTTTCAAACGTACAGTTCTTAATATCATACGTTTAGTAAAAAATACGGAATTGAGGAATAAATTTAAGCAAATAAATGTTTTTTATGCCATGCTCTACGGGATCATGGTAAAGTTACGAAATCTTACCACATTATTTTATCGCATATTTTAAAAACCAAATTTTATTTTTAATTTTACCTAAATCATTACCAAAGCGCTTCGGTAAAAATTATCGAACTTTTTGGTGTTCCCGTAGAGTCAAAAACATGGTAAATCTCCCCATATTCCGGTAGTTTTGAGCAAAACTTCTTCTCAGTGTATTAAAAATTTAACACGTTATTATACAAACAATAATGAGTCAAATACTAAGCAAATTAATTATTGTGAAAATGTAATGTTTGGTAGTATATTACATTCGCTAGCCTAATTGTTGAAAATTAAGCGAAGGAATTATGATCTAAATTAAATTAATAGGAGGTAAAAGGTCACACTTTTTAAAATCAAAATAAGAAGATAGCAATTATTAAGTTGTTCATTATTATTATATCTAATGCATATATGATCCGTGTAAATCATTAGAGATTGTCAAAATTCGTCAGACTCAAAAACACTGGGATATTATTTCAAAAAATACAAATGTTATCAAATCTACAAAATTTAGAAAAAGTCTATGAGATACCAAAACAAGATAGTGCTAAGACATTTTAAATACATAAAGCTATAATTAACGTTTTAAATCATAGCTTTTATGGACAATTATAAGACAAAAAATTTAAAAAAACATGACAAAGTATTGATTAAAAATAGTATACACCTCAATGACAACTTTAAAAACTTAACTAAGGTGATTTTTTTTAAACCAAAGCCACATTTCCACTACAGAAAATGGAAAGCTTCTATATTCTCATAGCTCGGAATTACCTAATCAAAACTGATACTTCAATTATATTTTTTAGAAATATAATTGAACATGTCGAACAAATATAATTGATAATTGTCGATGTAAGGGATTTTGAGGTAAGGGATTAAGAATCTAAGGTTAGAATTCCAAAATTTAATAAAATGGTCGCATTTAAATGCCAAAAATTCAATGTCTAAAATAATCATAACTATTACTCCAAAAAAAAAAATAATATTTCACTTTTGGGATGTTGGAGGACTGATAATGGAAAACTGGTTCTCTCCACATGAGGTATAGGGCTAAGCAGATATATGGGCAGATAGAGATATGGGGATAATGTCTTGTAACCCTGGATTTGATTCTCATGGTTATAGTTGGACTGATTTCATTTTAATGGACGACTATGTACAGCCTCATAGAACTTATCTGATCGACGATGTCTTGAAAAGTGAAAATATTCGTAGTCAGTCTCCAGATCTCAATCTCGTACAGCATGATCAGAAGGCCCTAGGGAGGGCAACTAGAACTCGAAATTCCTCCCTAAAACGCATATAGGACCAGAAACTGAGTGAGAACTATAATCGCAACTTCTAAACTACATTAATCCCAATATGAAATTACGTTGTATGACTTGCATAGCATCTGTAAGAAGAAGCCATACTGCCTACTGAACCATTTTTTATTTTTTCCTGTGGCCACTATTTCTTATCTTCTGACTCCGTAGAGTGTTGAGCAAGATCATATACGCGTATTATAATTGCAGAACAGTTATTTTATTCTTATTATATCAACCTATGGTCCCCCCAAATTTCTCTAAAATCTGTCTCGTAGTTTCAAGAATCTGAAAATCCTCTTAATTTGGATATCAGTGTATGTTTAGAAATTTCTTTGTGCAGATTGATTTTTAATTTCTCACAAAATTTGGAGCACAGTCCAAAGTGTACGATTTACGTGCTCCAAATCTTTCCAGAATGTTATGTATAAAGCAGCAAATGAAGCAAGTAAACGGCTGTTATTCATGTTACAAGGAGATTTTTTTTTTTGTTGTTGTTAAAATACTGTACTGTACAATAATATTAATTCATTTATTTCTGAAAAAAATACAATATTTAAACCACTCATTTGGTAATTTATCCTTTCATAAGGTAACGATTTATTTAAAATTCTGGTTTTTCAAAATTATAGTTCTTATTGCCACACATTTAGTTAAAAATTCAAAGCTGAGAAGTAAATTTAACTGAGTAAATAGTTCTTATGCCATGCTTTAAAGGAACATGATAACACATTGACCAAATTTTATCACATATCATGAAACTTAATTTTACCAAAGTTATACGGTAAAAAATACCTCGTTTTTTGGTGTTCCTGTGGAGCCAGAAAACAGTAGATTTTACAATTATCTTTCGACCATACTTTTTTCTCAGTGTATTATTAATTACAAATAATTTTATGATGACCACAAGAGGGAGGTTGTCTTTTAATTAAAGCAACGTTTTTTTCACAAATATTTTTTATTTATATTATAGATTATAAAATGTGCCGTTACTTTTGAGTGAGAAATAATTCTACTTGGAAAGTGGTATAAGTCTGAGGCTATTAAAGGTAAATGTTAGAATGAATTTAAAAGTATTGGCGAAGACTAATCAATCTGAGTGGTGCTTTTAACACTATCATTTGATGAAAAATTAAACTGCAACAATGATTATTAAAATGATAAAAAAATAATTTTTTTAGCTCCAATTGAACTTGTTCGGATTCAAAAAAATAATGGTTTAAATATCGGTGTATTTACTTTGCCAAAAATTATTTTAAATCTGATTTATTTTTGCTTGAATATTTAGACAAAAATATATATGTGAGAACTGATAAGAAAAAAATAAAACCAATGAATTCCGTCTGAGATTCTATGATATCTCCCTCTTATCGTCAATAATAAGAACATAAATGTCGGATTATCACTTTTGCTTTTGAGTTTACGTCAAGAGATCGTTGATCCTTTTATGCATTTAAATTTATACCAATTGACACAGGGTAAACTCTTTCGAACCTAATATTCTTGATATCAATTCAAAATAAAGTAGTATCTATGTTACTCTTGACTGCGGAACTTTAACCCTTTAAAAAATAGTGCCAAGGTCAGCTTTTTATCTAAGATTGCTGCTTTTTATATTTCATTCCTTGAATTACGCATTCGTATTAGAAATCGGTTAGTTACAGAGCATTAAAAATGAAAATCGGAAATGTTTTCATTACTGGTGCAAATAGAGGAATTGGATATGAATTTGTGCGACAGTTAATATTGAGAGAAGATCCACCAAAAATTATTTTTGCTACCTATAGGAGTGGTAGCACTGTTCTGGTAAATATTATTTTTAGAATTAATGATACTGATTATAATTTATATCTTTAAATGTTTGCGTTTCTGATGTTTTAAGCACGAAATCTCAAAAAACTGAAAATACTCTTAGTTTATGTATTTGTAACAGCTAACGTCATTAATAATGATAACAATAAAAAATTACTCAAGGGTTTTTCCATGAACTGTAAAAAATGTATCCAAGCTACCTATCCTCTTTGCGTCAGCCATAAAATTTCAAAAAACTGAAAATACTCCTAGTTTATGTATTTGTAACAGCTAACGTCATTAATAATGATAACATTAAAAAATTACTCAAGGGTTTTTCCATGAACTTTAAAAAATTTATCCAAGCTACCTATCCTCTTTGCGTCAGCCATAAAATTTCAAAAAACTGAAAATACTCTTAGTTTATGTATTTGTAACAGCTAACGTCATTAATAATGATAACATTAAAAAATTACTCAAGGGTTTTTCCATAAACTTTAAAAAGTGTATCCAAGCTACCTATCCTCTTTGCGTCAGCTGACACATAACGCCACTAGTCTCTTTTTTCCAGGCACCCCTGTCTTGAGCCATTCTTCTTGCCTCCTTCCATCCATTTAATTTTGCTTTAGTGCCTTGTTAAGTAAGTTTTGGCTTTCCTCTTTAACATTTTCCAACAGGTGCCCAAGTAAGTGCGACGTTAACTGGACTATCCCGTTTTAAACGAAATTCAGACCATCTCCATCTTCTCTTCAAATTTTCCTCATGAATGGATACTATTTTTGCTTTTGTTAGTCGATCTTCATTTGAAATAGTGTTAAGGCCAGAATATTCTTAAAATAATTCTTTGACATTTGTTCTGGAATGTTTGCAGTTTTTTTATTACGGTTTTGCAGAAGTTCCAACATTGAGCACCATGCAAAAGTATGGTGCGAACAGCATCCTTTAAAATACTTAATTTCGTGATGATTTTTAAATTTGAAGCTGTCAAAAAATTTTTTAAGGCTTCTGAAACCAGTTCTAGTTTTTATGATTTTTTTTAAAATGTATTATTAAAACTTTCATATTTGTTTTGCTAACTTTACCAAACTATTCATATTTATCTTTTATTTAATGAAAAATACTTCATTTGCAGGATTTAAAAGCATTGCAGGATAATGCAGTTAGGACTAAACTTATTCTTATAAAAATGGGTAAGTGTTAAAACTATTTAAAGCTGATTTCGTGTTAAGACGATTAGAGACTGATTTTTACGAAGGAGATAACATAATTATCCGTTTATGTGTTTCGCAATCCACAATAAAATTTTGTCATAATTTGCTTTCTTAATGTGTTACTTAATTGCATTTTGAAATTGAATTTTAAAATATTTGATAATAACAAAATTCTGACACATTTGATATAGCATTATATATAACATATAAATATTCTCTTTTATCCTTTTCTTAGACCAACACTAAAATTTTTTGGTATATACTTTTGCTATAGTAACTTTGTTTTTCTTAATGCAGTACTTAATTGCATTTTTAAATTGAATGTAAAATTAATTGATTATAATAATTTTAAAAATAATGCAATACATTAGAACACCTAAAAAATCTTTTTATTTAATTAATTTTATGTTCAAATGTCCTAATTTTTTACTCTCTTTATTAAAAAATCGTAAGGTCCAAAGTCGCTGTTTTGTGTGTTTAACTTAATGCTACATTTTGCTATAAGACTGGGAAACCTTAAATTGTTAAGTTGTGTTGAGAACTACACAGGAATTGCGATTTAAAAAAAAAACATTCAATAATTTTTCTAGAATTATTGACTACTAAACTTGGGGGGAAGTTCTATAGGTCGCAAGATAATGATATTACAGAGATGAAATATTGAGAGAACCACGGTTGCCCATAAACTTAACAGATTTTTTTTTCGAAATTCCAATTTGTTCGAAAGTTAGTTCGAATTTTAGGTACTTTTTGTGAATTTTTTCTCAGTTTCCTGCTTTACGCTGCATTTTGCTTTGTTGCTCAAAATTTCAGACTTAGAAACTTGACTTAATCTTCAGACTTAGAAACTTGAAATTAGAAGATGTGTAGGAAAGTGTTCAAAGAGTTCCATGCATGAAAAAAAAATTACTTTTTGATTGTTAGTTCAAGAAATATTTAACTGCTAAATTTGCAGTTAAAAAAAAAATATCTACGATCTAATCCGTTGAAATGCAACCACAAAGTTGATGCTGTAGGTCCGTTGCTGCTGATAGGGCCATTTTGCGTCATAATTTTAACAATTCTTTTTTTTTTTTTTTTTTTTTNTGTTGCTTTTTTTTTTTTTTTTTTTAAATTCTCATTTATTCAAAAAGTATTGCAAATTTAGGTAATTTTTCAGCTTTTTCTGCTTTAAATGTTAACGATTTATACATTGTTATGAAAAATTTATTTTTATAAATTTTATCAACAAATAATATTACTTTTCATTTGTCTTTTCTTATTGAGTCATTAATTCTGTGTTCGTAAGTTTTAGCTTTTCTTTTCAAGTTCAGATGATTATTTTTCAAATGAAGCTAATTGTCCATTTCGTTTCGATTAACATGTTAACAAACTGCTCTTACATAAATCTGAAATAATGGTATATTTCGAAACCAAAATGTTCTGCTTTCTTGAAAAAAATAAACAATTACGAATAAGAATCAATTACGGGGGTGGGCGTGAGGTGGGTGCAATAGGTGGAGTCCCCTAGTAGTATAATTATTTTGTAATAAATTTAAAATTGTATTCCTAATACCTGTTTTATTATGTTTATTAATTAGATATTTACCTTATAAAGTTGTTCATATTGTTTATCCACTTAAATATTATCCCCCAATCAAGCATTTTCAACTATATTGAAATTTGATACATTGTTGCCCTACTCAGACAAACTGCAATTAAGGTTGATTACAAATTGAAGTAATAAGAGAAACCCAATGCCATTATTCAAGATTCAATCACGTAAAAATAATCTATTTTCAAATTTAAGCTGATATTTTGCTTGCGACATGTACAATGACATTGTTCTATCAAGTACCACGAAATTTAGGTACAAAATCTCCATGAAAAATTATGTCTGTAATAATATTTTATATCTCAAATAATTTGTCAAAAAATTTTCATTTTAGATGTAAACGCGCCGGAAGAAATTGAAGTTGCCAAAAAAATTGTTGAAGCTAACACTGGGGATGAGGGTCTGCATCTACTTATTAACAACGCAGGTATATTTGAAATCCTTCCATTAGAACATATGACAGTCGAAAACTTGGAGAAACATTTCAAGACAAATACCGTAGGTCCCATGATGCTGTCTAAGGTAATACCAAAACATCGAATGATTGTGTCATCGGAATATATTTAAATTCCTTTGTATATATGGATACAGAATGCGCCGTAATAATCATCCACCCTTGAAATATATATTTTGGATTTTTATACAAGAAATGCACATTAAGAAAAACACTCTAACGATTTACTTTTTAGGTTGATCGAAGTAAAGGAGAGTTTAAAATAATAAAATTTTCTTTTTTTGTCCTGAGAGATTGGAATGCCTTTTACATTATATTTATTCCTCGCTGTCAGTGGCAAAAAAAAAAAAAAAAATGCTCCAGTTGAAATCTCTGAATGCAAAAATAAAATTATGCTCGTAAAAATATTATGACCATAAAAATACAGGTCTGTCCGTAAATTTTTTCTTGCAAATATATGGCCACTAACCATAATAGTTATCGTGCTCATCATAGGTCTTGACGTTGTTTGGAATTCAAGCTTATTTGCTTGTAGAATGATGGTGAACAGTAGTGTAGTGCTGCCATCTGCCGAGGCGTAAGGGAGTTGCTTATTCGTAATCACTAATGTTAAAGAGAGTCGTTCTTTATCGGCGGATGAGAAAAAATTCGGGATGAGAACAAATTCGGGTAGCTGGTCATATAACGTAGCGGCTGTCGATTCGGCAAGTTTTGCTAAGTTCATTACAATTGCGGCACTGAACTTTATTTTTTTTTTTTTTTTGTCCTCTTAAGGGAGCAGTCCGCATATACAAACGCGCAACAATAATTCTAAAAATTTTGTTGAAGTTCGTTGCATTTATGGGCACTGAACTTTTATTTCAACGATGCTTGTCATATAAATTAACGGTTAACATTCCAAATTTTACAGAAATTTCTTCGAGTTTGTTTGGTTACATTCTCAGGAAAAGAAACTTTTTATATTTTGATCATTTTTACTGTACTTTCTTTGCTCTGATTAACCCAAACAAAGTTTCATTATTTATTAATTCTCACCTGAAAATTAATTTATGGCACTGAAGTGCATTGTTTTTCATTGCAAAGATTGAAAAATGAATGTATTTAGGGTGGTCATTGCGAAACATTTTGTACGTGTACGTAATTTTTATACCACATTATTAGTTAGTACTCAGATAATATTTATTTCTGTTCAAATATTAAATTATAAAAGCTGATTAATAATTTTGAAATACTAAGTTAAGTTATGAATGGTTAGTTAAATTCGTAAAATTAGAACGAAAGAAAATCCTTGTATTTTGATTAAAGCTGATTTTCCAAAATTACTTTTATGGTTTGGGAAGTCTACGCAATGTATAATAATTACTACAGCATTAATAATCATTATTAATTACAGTTAACAATGTTTAAGGTTATTATACCAAGCTCAGAAGTCTGTTTTGTGAGATTTAATACACAAGTTTCAATTTTTCATATAACAACGCTCCTTATGCATATAGTAATTTTTAGATTACTTTCTAAACTTGTATTCAAATGAATATTTGAGCTTTATCGTATTTAAATTTTAATTTTTTAAAACCTAAAAAGGCAAACGTTAAAAGTTAAAAGTTAATTTCAAACTTAAGTTAGAAATCGTTAGATTATCTTCGATATTAATTAAAATAAATGATTTTCAACTGTTAGTCTAATACTTCGTAAATTAATTTTAGATTTCTGTAAAGCATAAAACAAACTAAAACAATTATTTAGAAATAAATGCAGCTTCGCTCAACAATAAGTAACATTTAAATTTCCTAAAAACTGTATATTTATATCTAACTTAAACAATATGTTTTTATATGTTGTATCGAAACAAAATATTATCTGTTGTACAGCAATATATTCTTATCGCTTATAATGAAATAATATATTATTTATTATTGTATTTTAACAATGTGCTATTGTTTGTTAAATCTAAATAATATATTATTTATTGTTGTATTTTAACAGTTTATTATTGACTGTTTTATCCAAACAATATATTATTAACTTTATTTATAATCAAATTATTATTTGTTGTATCTATACAATACATTATTATTTGTTTGATCTAAATATTGTATTATTATTTAATTTGCATAAACAATAGATTATCTTTTATATCTGAAAAACATATTATTAACTGTCATATTCGTACAATATTTGTAATCTATATCTTTTTATAGAATACAGATATATCTGTAAAATCTCAACAATAAGTATATACTATTATCAATGCTCAGTAATAATATTATCTCTTATACTTGAATAATGTATTATTAGATGTTATAGCTCAGGGGTTTCCGCACTCTAGGGTTTCCAACAAGCGTGACGCGGGGGCCACAACTAAAAACACAAATCAAATGGCGGGCCGCAACTTTATCAAAATTTTATGTTGGACTCTTATGTTTAAAGGAACATTAAATATTACTGTCAGATTTTTACCAAGTTCTACAAAACAAAACTATTGAAATACAAATTAAAATATTAAGTAGATTTTAAAAATATTTTTAAAAATATTAAGTAAGTAATAAAAATTCGGGCTACAATAACTTCAATGTGCACCTATGTATTAAACAATTAATGGGCAACAGATATCTAATTGTTAAGATATAAAACTTTAAAAATGTTGATATTAACGTAGTAGCACACAAAATGTTCAATGAGAAAATTGAGGTTTGTCTGCTGCAGCCACCAGAGAATAGATATTTGCATTTAAAATTTACAAATGTGTGTGCAAATATTTTCGTCCAAAATGAGTGGTTTCAAAAAGTTAAATCGGAGAATTTCTTCGAGAAAATTTCTGATACACACATGCTAATTTATATTCACAAAATACAAGAAAAGGAAATAAAAAAGAACAATATACACGATAATTTTTGCATTTGAATAAATATTTTCTTGGATGCAAAACCTGAGAAATAAATTTTTTTGCACCCTTGGTATGTTAAATTTCACAGAAACGAAGAAATTAGGTTTTTATTAGCAAGAAAAGCATTTTAAACCCATATAGATTTTTTACGAAAATTGTCCGCAAAAAAATGACAGCTAATATATTTTAGTTCGCGGGCCACAAAAAAAAGCTTCGCGGGCAGCCAGTTGGAAACCCCTATTATAGCTTAACGATATAATTATTAGCAATCAAATCAAAATAATTTGTTATTGTCTGATATATCTAAATAATACATCGATATCTGTTACTTGAACAATATACTGTTATGTGTTATTCTTAAACACTGTATTTTTACAGGTGATGCAACCCTTCCTAGAGAAAGCAGTATTAAAAAATGACGGATATAAAGTAGTCTTACTCAGTATATCTTCTTTATTAGGAAGCATTACAAACACAGGAAATAATTTCTTCGATCTAAATGTACCCTCATATAAAATAAGCAAGGTGTGTTTGATTAGTTTACATACAATTTATATTTGTCATAATCATAGCAATAAATCTTGATTAAAAAAAAAACAATAATACAATATACCTTTAATCTTTCTTATGTAGTATTGTTTCCATCTTCAAGGATTCTCTTAAAGTACCATTTATAATTGAAAAAAATTGTTAACAATTTTCTGATGCGTTTCCAATGTTTATTTTTAAAAGGACACTACTTGTGTTTAAGAGGGCATTTTTTTTATAATTTTTATTCTTTAGGGCATTTTTATTTATCATTGTTTCAAAAAAAATTTTTTTTATTTGAAAACATTTCATTTCATTTCTGAAAACATAAACTTTTAGCTACTGTGAAAACGTAAATTTTTGAATTCATTAAAAAATATGAATTTTCAAATTTATGTTTCTCAGAAATTATTCGACCGATTTCGTTCAAATTTTGCATATCATCAACTCAAAAGTAAAATTTTTGTGTCTTGTAATTTAAAATGTGCTAAACTTTATCAAATTATAAATAGTACAATTATTTTTCATGTGATAAGTTATTAATGAAAGTTATATAGCATGAAATTATCATAATAAGCAAATTGTAAAATTAAAAGAAATTCTTTTTAGATTCAGAACTAAACTAAGTGCTCCATATTTCTTAGCTTGCGGTTTAATTTTTTGAAGACTAAAAATTAGAACCACTTGGAATATATTTATTAAGAAAAACAATGTGTTTTCGGAAACAAAATCTATGATACACCATGGTTTCAAATGATTAAATTGACATACTTTTAATAGCCACCTTTAAACAAAAATTTTTGAAAATTGTTCTCTGAAAAAAATCAAATCTGTTCTTTACATTAATGAAGTCATTACACTCTTCTATCCCAACACATTAATGAAGATAGCTTGTTTTCTTTCCTTCTTTTTTTCTTTTAAGTAAATTTCTTCCTTTTTCATATCTATAAATAATTCAGTTGATCATGTAGCGAAAATTAAAGTACCATGAATATTTACATATAATACTGATGTAGACAAGCAAATGATTTTGAAAATAACAACTTAAGGAATAACAAGTCCAACCAAATAACAAGCCCAACCAAAATAAACTTCGTTTACGTCGCACTAGAGCTGCACAATGGGCTATTGGCGACGGTCTGAGAAACATTCTTGAGGATAATCCGAAGACATGACATCGCAATTCTGATCCTCTGCAGAGGGGAGAGCTCTCCTGCTTTGGTAGCCCCACCACCCGTGTACAAAGTCGAGCACTTTACGGTCGAGCAGTTTAACGAGGACCGATACGGCTCATCACCCTCGGTTCCTACGCAGGCTGATCAAAGTGGTCACCTACTAGCTTACTTACCGTAGTCAGTGATGCTTGACTTCGGTGTACTAGTGGGGACGGTGTCTTTACTGCGGCACAAATAAAAATAGATATGAAAAATTTAGAAAAGGATCAGTCACTGTTTAAATGGATAGATATATTAATAGATTATTCTGTTTTTTTTTTCCTTTCTAATGACACTTAGACAAGCTAAGCTTACCAGCCATTGTTTTTTCTTTTTTTTTTGCAAATTAAGGCAAGAATTTTCCGTTTGACTAGAAAGCACCGCAAAGGTTAAAGTACGTCTTAGCTCAAAACTTCACGGAGAAATGTCAGCAACACTCATTCGAGAGTCCACTTCCTAAATTTAGACATAAATCTGAAGGGGTAAAAATTTTCCCCCAGATCCTTATAACCATGATACTGCTCAGAGACCGAACACGGGACTTTCGATTCCACAAATTTTACGAGCTTGTATATCGCGCATGTACTCAGTTGGGATCAACGAAGTCGAGCACTGAACACCGGCCCCTCTGAACCGGAGTTCATTTCTCTAATCACAGGGCTACCACAACCAACAGATTATTCTGATTTTCATGAGTAATATATGTTACAAAAAAATGCA